GAGCAGAGCTGGCACACCTGCGAAGCTTTCCTGAACGCATGGAACCTCTGCAGGCACGACGCCTACGAGCTCAGTCAGCACCTGGGGCTCAACGCAAATTTCGCGCAGGCGCAGGCACGACGAGAGCACATGACAAGGGATCGAGGCGATGCCAGGCGACAAGGTAAGGGCCATGACCGTGCTGACACCTCCGACGCGAGTAGCGGCAAACAGGGCAACCGCAGCTCCGATTGGGGTGGCCACCTGCCAGAAAAGAGGCGCAGCCCGCAGGTCCCGCCCACAGACCACCCTTGCGACGCAACCAAGCATGCGGCAGGACGGGCTTGCAGCTGTTGCTGGCCCATCCTCTTCTCATCTCCTACGCAACACATGTCTCCAACGGTCAGCTGCTCCACTTCCTCTCCTGGCCTTGTGTCCTGGGGTCATCTACGCTCGTCATTTACACAGCCCACACTTTTGCAGCGGTCAGCTGCTCCTGGCGCTCGCCCCCGCCACTTCTTTCTTCCCCTCTTGCATTTGCAGCGATCAGCTGTCGCGCCTTCTGGCATCTGCCGCGGTATGCTGTTCCTCTTCTTCTCCTGGCCTCGTGTCTTGGGTTTTTCCTCGCTCGCCGCTTCCACTGTCCATGCTTTTGCAGCGATCAGCTGCTCCAGGGGTTCGCCACCGCCACCTCCCTCTCTGCATTGGCAGCGATCAGCTGCCGCGCCTTTTGTCATCGCTCCTCGCTTCCCACGCTCGCGACGATCCGTCGCCGCCCTCCCGCTCTCAGCTACTGCCTGGGGCTACTGGCTGGCAGGCGTCTCTCGAGGTCCTGGCTCGTGCTGGCACGCCGGCTGGCACCTGATCCTGCGGGCCCCCGGCTGCCGGGGCCGCTGGCGCCCGCCCCGCGCGCGTTCAGGGCACCTGTTGCGCGCGGGCGGCGACCGCCAGCGGGCTTTTGCTCTCAGCGAGGCGGCGTCTTATCAACTGCTGCAGCTGCTGCCGGGTCTGGGTTATGGATGGCTGGCGCGCTGCAGCCTACACGCGCCGCGGCGGCGCCCTTGCTCCTCGTCGGCGCGATGGCCGCAAGGATTCGTGGCGAAGGTGTTCGGCAAGGGCGCGCTGCTGGTTAGTCAGGGACCCCCCCCGCTCGCTGAAGGGGCTGTTCGGTAAGGTCCCCCGGGTGAAGTCTCGGGTTCGGCAGTGGCCTCGGCTCTGGACCTCGGCGCGGGCTTGTCATTGCTGGCTGCTGGCTGCTGGGCTGCCGGCCGCCCACCCCGCCCCCGCGCGGGTTGCCCGCTGCGGCGGCGCCGTGCTCGTCTTCCTGGCGCCGCGGGGTCGCCGTCGCCTCGGGGCGCCTCCCTTCACGGCGTCGCCGCTCCGGCCGCTGCTCAGCTGCCTCCGGGTCTCGGCGCGCGGGGCGTCCTGATGGCTGGTCGCGCTGCTCGCGGCCTCCTCCTCCTCCGCCTCCTCCTCCTCCTCCTCCTCCTCCTCCTCCTCCTCCGCCCTCCTCCTCCTCCTCCTCCTTCTCCTCCTCCTCCTCCTCCTCCTCCTCCTCCTCCTCCTCCTTCCCCCCAGCTCTGTGCTTGCCCCAGCCTGGGGGGGGGCCTCTAACCTGCTTCGCTGGACGGCGCGAAGCGGTCGCAGCTCGCTCGGCTGCCGCTTCCTCCTGGCATAGCGCTCTCCACCGCGCCGCCGCTGTCCGACGACGCGTCTTGCCACCTGGGGACCCAGAGATCGTTTGTCTCCTCGGCGTTCGCCTGGCACGTCCTCCGCGTTGACCACACCCGTCTCTCGGGGTCGCTCGCGCTACTCCTTCGGGCGCGCTCGCTCGTTTCTCCATGCTCGTGAAGGCCATCGGGTTCCAAGGACTTCGATGGGGGGCCACGTGCGAACCCTAACCCCTACCCCCGACGATTTCTGAGGGGGTAGGGTGGGGTAGGGTCCGCATGTGGCCCCCTGTTCGATTTCGACCATCTTCCCAGGAGAGTATTCAGGAGGGAAAACAAAACACACAGACACAATGAATCGTCGATCCCCCAGAACATATGGGAAACTATGGGAGGTGGGGGGGGGAAGACGAACATCCAAAAAATATGGGAACTATGGGGAATCCTGTTATTTGTGTGTATTGATTTGTGTGTCCCAGGGCCCCTTTTAAGCATGCTGGTGGACGCCTTTCCTCCCGCCGCTTCGGCCGCCGCGCGTCCGCCGGGCCTGCGCGGCGGCTCCCCGGACGCCTTCCTCGGTACGTCTCGTCTTGGGGGTGGCCGTGCTGCTGACCTACCGTTCAGTCGGGCGTGGCCCCCCTGCCGGAGGACTGTCGACGAAAAACAAAACATACCCCCAAAACTCACCAAAGATGGCAAAAACTTGTCGACAAATAGTCCCCCGACTATTTTTGGATGTTTTTGGTTATTGTTGTGTGTGGTGCATTTATATATATATATATATATATATATATATATATATATATATATGACAGGCCCGACTTAAACCTACCATGTGAGTGGTCACCCTACACCGACGTCCTAATCGGCACCTGCGTGGACGAGTTCGCGGTGCGGGCTTGCGATGCCACCCGCGCCTTTTTGGCTGCGTCGTGCCCAGTTCCGCGCTGTGACGGGCGCTGTTCGCTTCGTCGTTTTTCCTTTGCTACGGCGCGGCCCGCCCTAGCTTGCTCGGCGTTCGACTTGTCTTCGCGCGCCCGCGTGCCAAACAAATCCCCGCCAGCCCAGGCCGAACCGTGCGAAGGAGGCAGGAGGAGAAGGAGGAGGCTGGATGGATGGATGGATGGATGGATGGATGGATGGATGAGGGAGCGGGGAAAAGGAGGATGAATAGGAGGAGGAGGAGGAGGAGGAGGAGGAGGACGAGGAGGAAGACGAGGAGTAGGAGAAGGAGTAGGAGGAACAGGAGGAGGAGGAGGAAAAGGAGGAGGAGGAGGAGGAGGGGGAGGAGGAGGAGGAGGAGGAAGAGAAAGAAACTGAGAATGAGAAAGAAAAGGAGTAGGAGGAGGAAGGAGGAGCAGGAGCAGGAGGGCAAACAAAAGGGCCAGAGGTCTCTTGGGTGCCTCTCGGAGCCTCTTGGGGCATCTCTTGGGCGCTTCTCGGTGGCCTCTTGGGACGTCTTGGGGCTCTCTTGGCAGTCCTGGGGGGCTCTTGGGCGCTTATGGGGGGGCTCTTGGGGCCGCTTGGGGTCCTCTTGTGGCCTCCTGGGGGGCCTTCTGGGGGCCTCTTGGGGCCACCTTGGGGCCATCTCGGGACCTCTTGGAGAATCTTGGGCGCCTCGTGGAGCCATCTTGGAGGATATTGATTAAATACGGGGTGTGGGGGGGGGGGGGGCAATTAGCGTAGCCCCCCCAAGAGGCCAACATGGGACCAAAACCCCGTAGTAAAACCGGATTGTGGTTTCCTCGCCGAGGCCGTTTCGGGCGTTCGACAGGCCCCGTTCAGGTCCAGGGAAGGGGATAGGGGGAGGGGTAAATCCCTCCCCGAAGTGGAAAAAGGGGGTTGGGCGAGGAGCCGCCCTAGACCACCTACGCCCAGAGGGCTGGTGGGATTTTGTCCAGCAGGTTGGGAGGTGTGGTGACGGTTCGCCCGCGACACGAAACGGTTCGCCCGCGACACGACAAGTTACCCCCTCCCCGCCCGCAAGCTGTCTCGCTCACTCCCACCCGCCCTCCCAACACATACGTAGCACCCGAGTCTGGCCCGAGCCTCAGCATATTCAGCAGTCGTCTTGGGATGGGCAGCTACTGGGGGCCAATCCGCCGCCGCCGCCGCCGCCGCCTCCGCCGCCGCCTCCGCCGCCCCCGCCCCCGCCCCCGCCCCCGCCGCCGCCGCAGCCGCCGCAGCCGCCGCAGCCGCCGCCACCGCCGCCGCAGGCGCCGCAGCCGCCGCCGCCGCCAAGTGTACTCTGTATTGTGTTTTGACAGGGATGGTGGGGGGGCCGCATCGGGTTGGCTGCGCATGTTCCGAATTTGGAGGCAGAGTGTGTGTGTTGGATTGTTTGTTACAAGGGATGGTGGGGGGGGTCGGCATGGACCCTGGTTGGCCCCCAGTCGCCTGGGGGAGGGGGTGTTTATTAATAGGGAACAGTGATAAACCCTTCCCCGAAGTGGAAAAAAAGGTTGGGCGAGGAGCCGCCCTAGACCACCTACGCCCAGAGGGCTGGTGGGATTTTGTCCAGCAGGTTGGGAGGTGTGGTGACGGTTCGCCCGCGACACGAAACAGGCAGGCATCATTTCAGATTGATACATGGGCACACGCGGCGGGATATTGTTCTTCAGGGGTGGTTCGTATTTAACGGCATCTGGTGGTACTAATTGTGTTTGTCTTCTCGTGGTTGAGCATTTCGTTGTGCATGTAGTGTTGGTGTTACTTGTGTAGTCCCACTTCTCCTTTCTGGAGCTATGCGTGCCGAGCGGGCTCACGCTTGGCTAGCAGTACGTGTGCCTTGGCGGTGCATCACCCTTCATTAGCGATTGTCGGCGACATCAACGAACGTGTTTATGATGATCGTAATGTTGATGGCGGGTTTTTATCCAATCCAGGTTTAGTCGGGAGCGGCGCCGCAGTCGTCTTCGTTGTCACATGCGTCGTGGCGATCCTCGCCATCACCGTCGTCATCGGTATCGTCGAAACCAGACAGTGGGGGAGGGAAGCGAGAGAGAGAGAGGGAAGGGGAGCGGGAGCAGAGCGAACTGTGGCAGAGCAGAGGGAAAGGGAAGGACTGAGGGTGGGGAGATGAGCGGGTCGGAGTGGATAGAAGTATAGTGTTGCGGAGTGTGGAATGGGTGGGAGGAGGGAGATGGAGGAGCGATGAGGGACTGGATAATACATTGGGAGGGGATGGGGTGAAGTGTGAGGGCGGGGAAGGAGAGGGATTTCCAAAGTCGGTCGTCATGTTCATTATCGTCGTCTTCTCCTTGTCATCGTCCTACTCCACTCCTCCTCCTCCTCCTCCTCCTCCTCCTCTGATAGCCCTTTGTTCGTAACTGGTGGTGGCCCTCCCCGCAGGCTGCCCTCGAAGCGATGCGAGAGCTGCAGCAACGAGCAATACTTTGACGCAGACGCGGCCAGCTTGCTCGTGCTGCCTTGGCGTCCCCTTCCCCCCACCCCCTATCACCTCCCTCCTTTTCCCCCTGTCCCCTCCCTTCTCCCTTTCCCCCACCCCCTCCCCTCCTTCCTCTCCCCACCCCTCCCCTTCCCCTCTGGCCCCTCTCCCTTCCCTCCTCCCTCTCCCTTCCCTTCTCCCTCTCCCCTGTTCCCTCTCTCCTCCTTCCTTCCCTGTGGCGCCTCTCCCCCGTTTACGTTTACGCATAATGAATACTATTATCCTCTCTCCCCTCACTCCGTCCGGGAGATGGCCAGTCCTCTCCGCGCATTGTTCCCCAATTAGGCTTGCCCAAGGGGTTCTTGCTTGGCTAAAGGTTGGTGCCTCCTATTACTAGTCCAGAAGCCGGAATCAAGTGACAATGTTGCCCCTTTGTGACAGCAGGGGTCTTTTTCATGGAGGAGCGGAGGCCCTCAGTGACAGAAGGGGTCCCTTTCCCGTTCCTCCTCCTCATACCCTCCCTCCTTCTCCTACGCTTCCTCCTTATCCTACTTCTCCTACGTTTTCTCGTCTCCTCTCCTCCTCCTGCTTCTCTTACCTTTCTTGCTTATCATGCCCCGCGAAAGCCCAGCAGCTCGCGCGCGCGACGGGCCAGATGCGGCGCTTCGGTCGCATGACCGAGGGGTCGCTAGGCACCCTCGCCTCGGCGGTCCGCGCTGCCCAGCGGCACATCTTCCCTGCGCGTGCGCGCCAGCGCAAGATCAGGTTCAGGGTGCCTGCGGCACCGTGGCCGCATCGAGCTGGGATGCAACGGTGGGGGGGGGGGGCCACGTGCGAACCCTGCCCCTGCCCCCCACGATTTCCGAGGGGGAGGGCGGGGTCCACTTCGCTCGGGAGCTCCGGAGCAACGTGTACCCCACCCTCCCTCTCAGAAATCGTGGGGGGTAGGGGTAGGGTTCGCATGCGGCCCCCGATCGTCGCCGAGGGAGCCGACGGCGTCGCCAGGCGCCGCTCCCAGCACACCTGGGCCCGTTGCTAGGGGGCCACGTGCGAACCCTGCCCCTGCCCCCCACGATTTCCGAGGGGGAGGGCGGGGTCCACTTCGCTCGGGAGCTCCGGAGCAACGTGTACCCCACCCTCCCTCTCAGAAATCGTGGGGGGTAGGGGTAGGGTTCGCATGCGGCCCCCGATCGTCGCCGAGGGAGCCGACGGCGTCGCCAGGCGCCGCTCCCAGCACACCTGGGCCCGTTGCTAGGGGGCCACGTGCGAACCCTGCCCCTGCCCCCCACGGCCAGCATGGCCTCCTTGGCCGGCGTGGCAAGCAGTGGAAGGGGCCAGGGGCGCGGCAGATGATCGACGCCCACGCGCTGCATCGGGCTTGCCGCAAGCCTCTGGCCCCAGAGGCCCAACGCAGTAGCTTTGTCTTCATTGCGCGCACAGGGGCGCCCATCTGCAACCATCTGCGCCAGTGCAGCATCGAGCTGGAGGAGCACATCAACTATTGGACGACCACCAACCGACGAGCGCATTTGGCCCTGATGTGCCGCGACATGTTGCGACTGGCACCTGATTGCAGTTGCGCCCCAACAACCAAAGGCGCATCCAGGACATTGCGTTTTCAACGAGGCACGACAGCAGCTTATTCACCAGACTCGGACACCTTCCAGTCCCGCGGCGAACCGCAAGCACGACATCCAGCCGCGCGCCCAGGACCGCGCGCATTCAAACACCCAACGACTCAAACAGACAGGACCACAAGCACGAACAACCGCGGGAGGTGACGGGTGACTGCGTCATCGGCGCCCACCGAGCCGCAGAGCGCACGCCCCTGAAGGCAAGAATGAAGGACGGCCATGCGCCCGGGACCCGCGAGCAGGTCGTCGAGGACCGCTGCGACGACTGCGGCTCCGACCTCGCCGGTCTGGCTCCTCACCTACTCGGCCCCCCGGCCATTGGCGACTCCGGCTGTGACGACGAGTGCGACGAGGACGACCTCCATGGCAGCCTTGCCACAGGCTTGCCCACGCGGTGGTTCTGTGGCTCGTCAGCTCCAGTACCCGAATTTGATCGCCAAGCGGCTAATTACCGCTCAAGGTGCCCGCAGCAATGGTCACCCAAACAATACAGCCCACCGAGCTCGACACCATCCATTCCTTTTTCACCGACCCCACTTCATTCGATTACGGCATAGAAATTCTAGACGCTTCGCGTATCCCCACCAGCCCGTCCAGAAACGACGCCCAGGCGAGTAGAGGGTCGTCCTGAGGGGCTTTTCGGCGTCTTGGGTGCCTCGGGGGGGCCTCTGTGGGCCGTTGAGGATCCTGTTTGGGGCCTCCTGGGGGCCTCTTGGGGCCTCTTGGGACCATCTTGGGGCCTTTGGGGGCCTCCTGGGCGCTTCTTGGGGCCATCTTTGCCCCCTCAGGAGGCCAAAATGGGGCGCTCTTGGGGCAATTTTGGAGGACATCGGCCAAGGAAGTGGGGTTCCCTAATTACAGCCCCCCCCCAGGAGCTCCAAAAATCGCTTCCTGGACCCCTCTTGGATCGCTCTTGGAGCGCTCGTGGCCGCTCTTGGAGCCATCCTGAGGCTCTCTTGGGCCCCTCTTGGAGCTATATTGAGCCATCTTGGAGCCATCTTGACGCGTCGGATGTGCATCGCAAGCGAAAAAGTGAGAACACCAAAAACAGTGATTTTCCCTAGGGTTTGAAGCATTTTGGTCTCTTGGATGCATCCTAATGATGCCTTTTGGGCACTTGGAACCGTCTTGGGGAGTTCTTGGAGCGTCTTGGAACATCATGGGGACCATCTTGAGGCATCTTGCGCTATCTTGAGCCATCTTGGAGGTCATCTTGAGCTCCCTGAGGCCCTCTTGGAGCCGTGTTGGGCCGTCTTGGACGCTCTAACTACCCGCGGCCCCCCTTGTCCAGGTCAGTGGGGAGGGGGTAGGGGGAGGGGTAAACCCCTCCCCGAAGGGGAAGAAGGAGGGGTGGAAGAGGAAACGCTCTAAACCACCGACGCCCAGAGGGCTGGTGGGACTTCTCAATGGCGTGAGGCAGACTCTTGAGGTTTCTTGGGGACTTCTTGGGAAGCTATTTTGGGAGGCTTGGGCTCCTCTTGGACCCGTCTGGGCGCCCTTGAAGGCCCTGCTGGGGCGCTCTTGGGGCAATCTTGGAGGACATCGGTCAAGGAAGTAGGGTTCCTTAATTAGAGCCCCCCCAGGAACTCCAAACATCGTCTCCTGTACCGCTCTGGGACCGCTCTTGGAGCGCTCTTCGGCGCTCTTGGCGCCGTCATGGGGCTTTCTTGGGCCCTTCTTGGAGCTATCTTGAGCCATCTTGGAGCCATCTTGACGCCTCGGATGTGCATCGCAAGCGAAACAGTGAGAACACCAAAAACATTGATGTTCCCAAGGGTTTTGAAGCATTTTGGCCTCTTGGATGCATCCTAATGATGCTTTTGTGGGCACTTGACTTGGAACCGTCTTGGAGAGTTCTTGGAACGTCTTGGAACATCATGGGGACCATCTTGAGGCATCTTGCGCTATCTTGAGCCATCTTGGAGGGTATCTTGGGCTCCCTGAGGCCCTCTTGGAGCCGTCTTGGGCCATCTTGGGCGCTCCAACGCGCCGCGGAACCCCCTGTCCAGGTCAGCGGGGAGGGGGTAGGGGGAGGGGTAAACCCCTCCCCGAAGGGGAAGAGGGAGGTGTGGAAGAGGAAACTCGTTAAACCACCGACGCCCAGAGGGCTGGTGGGATCATTTTGGCTTGCGATGAAGAGGCGCGGACTAGCAGACTGGATGTCCGCCGCCAACGTAGAGTTGTCGGTCACCAGCTGCGGCCTCAACGACGAGAACCAGCAGCGACCCCAGAAACGATGCGTGGAGCATCGGCCACTAGTTGCGGCCATGGATCCCACCTGTCGGCCGTTCGGTCTTTGGGTAGCCTTCAACTACAAGCGGAACTACTACGCTTTGGTTGCGTTCCTACGTGGAAGCGGTCCACCATGGCCGATTATTCGGCTACCTTCCACAACTGCAGCTCGAGCCAACGGGCAGCCTGAACCATCGTAGCTGTGCGATGAGCCGCCATGGCCAGAGGCGCTGGCGGGGCCGTGCATGGACAGGACGTCTTTGACCAAATGTCAGCTTGGGCTTCGAGATCGCCGCGGGAGTACCGTGAGGAAGACCACGATGCTGGTCTCCACCGCTCTGGAGATATCCGAGCAGTTCGCGAACCTTAGACCCCTGGGCAAGCGCCCCCACGTCAACGCCGAAAGTCGCAATAGTTTCGGCGCTCTGATTTGGCCCTGGGAGATGGCCGAGCGACTCGCTCAGGGCACGGTGGTCTCACGTCGCCGCCTGAGGCGCCTGCGCGCGGTGACATGCGCTCGCGAGCGCGACGTCCGAGCGACGGCCTTCCCAACGGCGGCTGCCAGGGTCTCGGAGCGCGAGGTCAGACGCGCGGCGGCGGCTGAGCGCGCGCGCGCGCTGCACCTGGTAAGCGTGCAAGCGCAAAACCAGCGCAGACTCGCCCATGCGCCCCCGGGATCCAGCAGCGCGCCGCTACCCTCGCAGCGCCCCGATCCGCTGGGAGTGCCCCGGCTGATGGGGGGAGAAGGGCCGCGACCGCTCCGCGCGCGCCCGCGAGCTCAGCGAGCGCAGGTTTGCGGGCCCCCGACGCGGCTGCGCCCGCTCGCCAGCCAGCGCCCGCGAGCGCCAGCGCGACCTGGAGGACCGCATCACTCAAGCGATCAACAGCTTCAACTACCCAGCGGCCCAGACCATGGAGCAGCAGACGAGGCTGCTCTGCCACCCGCGCCCGCAGGATAATCAGGAGCCAGCTCATCTAGCGCTGGGGCTTAGGGCAGCGGTTCGGGCGACTGCGCCACTTGACTAGGCGCGCGAGCCAGCCCATCAGCGGGCGCAGAGCCGCGACGGACGGCGCCGCGAGCTGCCGACGCTGCTGTTGGCAACCCGACGCCCTCAGACTGGACACGTCAAGATGTCGCCACATCCCCGCGACGCT